CTTCCGGCTGCCGAGCGCGACGGACGTCTTATCATGAGCTCCGTCGGAGCGGCGATAACGGCTAGCACTAGCCGGGAATCAACTGTTCAGCCAGGAAACAACGCCCACCAGGAATACAGGATGCTTCTGCCCACGCTGCCAACAGGTCGGTCTTCTTTTAATGCTGTCATTTTGCACTGCGACCCGTCGGGGAGACCTTATAAAATCGACGACTTCGCCGACGCACTGAAATCGGCCATCAACCTCAAGGACATTGCCGGGTTTGGTGCTTACCAATATAATCACGTCTGGATACTCACACTACACAACATGTTGGCGAAGGAAAAAATGGTGAAAGTGCGGATTCTCGTTATCAAGGGAAAAACGTGCGCCGTCATCGACCCCAACACCAGGGAGAAGACCTTTAAGGTACACTGGCTGCCTACGAACATTCCGGATGAAGCAGTCGTGCAAGCGTTCACTAGTTGCGACAAAGTGAAGAAAGTCGCGAGGGACAAATGGCGCCGATCTGGTTTTGAAGAAATAAGAGACAACGACCAGAACCGTGTGGGATTCTAGTTTACCCCAAAGTCCTCAGTGAGGCAAATACCCACTCCGTAACTCGTGGGTTGCAAAAGGTGGGTTTCGACTTACTTTTCTGATCGCTGTGAGGCAAACCCCCCCCGTAGTCCGCTGCTATGACGGCTACGGCCGGGTCCGTCCGTTGGTTGCCGCTAGGCTCCGGTGGACGGGAGACCACACCAAACACAGGGATACCGTAGAAACGTGTTTATTGGCCTTACGCCACACGCTTTGCGCCCGGAGGCGGAACAAAAGAGAAATGAGGTTGGCGCTGCCTTAATTGACAGGATCACCAGGAGAAGGGTCCGCGCTGCCTTAACTGGCAGGATCACGGAAAAGGGGGAGCAGTAAAATAACGATGAATACTCCGTCGAGCGTAGCCCCCACTTACCAAGAGCCCCGGCCACAGGTGGGTGGCCGGCTTATGTAGCCTTCGGGAAATAGACGCGCCCGGGGAGACCGGTAGAAGGTCACTCGAAAACAGGACGCGTTCATAATCACTCCAGTAAAGAATGCGTCCCTCCCTGAGGGTCACCAGGTTGTTTTGTCCCGGTCCTTCCTAGAAGTCGTAGGTCAGGGCCGGGCGATCGTGGACAGCCGCGAAGGATGGTCGCTTCTTGCTCGTTGGTGGTGGCGGAGCCTCGAAGAAAGACGCTCAAAGGCGAGAGCAACGATTGATAAAAACAAATATATTAAAACGACAACAGCAAACTTGGTTACAGGACTCTACTGTCCGCTCACGGCAGTAGAAAGGCGAAAAAAACGCGCCTCGGCGCAAAGTGCCCACCGCGCACGGTGAGGCTCAAAAGAAACTGCTCGTCGCTCGCGACTAAGCTACGCGGACCGGCGGACCGCGGGAGATAACTTGCTCCGCGCACGGGCTTGTTCAAACTCAACGTTTTCTCGCCAGCGCGGACGAGAAAACTCCCCGCTGACACAGGGCCTGTCCAATCAGGACGATCACACAATTCTATTGGCCCCAGTGCCAGCGGGTCCTCCACCAATCACAGAAAGACCACCGAACTCGTTATTTCCCTTTTCTAAGAAGAGAAACAATGCTAAACCCCTGGGGGAACTCTCCAATCGGGGCGATACTTTACTGCTCTACGGGGAAAACACCCCCCACTTCGCTGCGTCAAAACAAATTGGCGCCGTGACCTTCGAACTTAGCGAGTAAGCTTAATAAAGTCCAAGTGGACCCAGACAACACCACCTAGACTAGCTCAAGGCCTCTCCACGTCTTCGTGACGTCATCACACTACGACCAGCCTGGAAGTTCGGCTTCTTTCGGCGTTGAGCTCTCCCGCAGCGGCGTCCCTAGATGCGCGCTCGGCTGTTCCGTGCATCGGGAAAACTATTCATCCTGCTGTTGATCTTTTGTGCTCTGTAAATTAGGAAACCCATTCGGCGATTTATTTTGAATATTAGAGCTGTAGTTCAATGGGTGTACATGCAGGTGCTTACTAGTATAGCACTAAGAGTCAAATTCTTTAATTACAAACATATATTAAGGTACTGCACAGTTTTCAATTTTGGCGGGCCAAATATTTCGCGAATTAGGTCTAATGGATATATGTAGAGTTCATAAAATAAGTGGACGTTTGTACACTCAATAAATTCCGACTTAAGAAATCTTCCCGTGTGCCTCCCGATATTTTAGTTTGCTAAACATGGGGTTAGGAAAATAATGAGGTTTACCATTTTCCTATAGCTTCAGTATTTCATACTATTTTTCACGACTTTCTACAATAATCTGGCTCTTAATTCAATAAAATCAAGTAGACTTATGATATTATAACCCTGGATCATAATTTGTGCAGCACAGAAGTTCAATGATTGAATGTTTATTTACACTAAAAATGGAATGTGTGGACTGAATGAAAATCAGTCACATGAAGTCATCACAAGTAAGGTCAGTCAAAATAGCGTCAGTGCTTCAGAGTCTTCATCTTTCGCTTTTGGGTTAATTTCTTGAGAACCAGCTGGTCATTCTTTGTCTTGCAATAGTTGTTCAGTACAATGTTCGTTGCTGCGCTCAAAATGTGACGCATCACCAGCTGTGGCGAATGACCACTATCACACACATCGAGATCATTGGAGTCATCCAATATATTATGCGTGAGTGTCAGCAGTGCCGCTTTCTGGTTTGGCAACCCGTGGAATTGTGTGGCATACTTCTCGCTCCTCAGCTTGTCAAGCACTATTTCTGTTGTGACCACAGCATTGACGACAGCTGGCTGGGGGAACTTGAGTCCACCTCGGTTCATGCTTCTGATGATGTCCGAGTTCTCAACTTGGATGTCACGTTCCAGCACTAAGTTTGCTCTGCAGGCAGTGCAGGAGAGCTTCTTGAGTGCAGCGTGAGCACAGTAGCCTGCCACGTAGGTGATCGCTGCGAGGTTTGGAGCCTTGTTAGTAATGTCCATGTCCGTCACTTCAATCCTGAAGTTGTCCAGTACAGACCCATCCATCTCGACTGCAGATGCTGCCACCTCCATATCTGGGAGCTGGAGGACTTTCTGAAGGCGAAGCTTCCGTTCAGATTCAAATATCTGTCTTATAGAAACATGATATTGGGCACCAGCAAGCTGTCGGTACTTTCCAAACCTGTCTTCCAAACAGTCGGTCTGGAATTTTCCGAGTAGTACGTAGTCAAATCCCATCTCTTGAAGGCAGTAGCTTGTCAGCTTCACCAAGGTGGACGTCGTGAGTCGGAGGGCACTGTGAGTGTCCGGTGTGAGCCTGCCTGTGTCAAACTTCAGGGATTGCCACAGATCTAGCCATTCTATCACATTGGTGAGGTACTCGATTTGTGGGCCTGACAAAGACGTGACTGGAGACTGGAAGTCATCTCGAAGTCGTCGGCCCTTGTTGCACGTCTTAACATTTACGATGCTCCACCACCTTTCGACAATCTTCAAGAACTCTGCTGTTCCAGCGGCATATTCCAAGCCAAGTCGAAGCCCACAGGTCTCTAAGGCTGCGATTGTAGATGGACTGAAAACCTTCAGAGCCAGCTTGACATTTTGTCGCTCCATGTTGGATGGATGCAGCGCTTTCATCGATAGGGTTGGAGCGGACTTGATGAGCTGGTCCTGTTCCTTTGAGTGAAGCTCCCGAAGCGTCTTGAACGACGCTGTCCATGGTTTGGTGAAAGGACCCTTGATGGGAGGGAAGAACATGCAGGTTCCGATGTTTTTCTGATTAATCCAATTGTTCCTCACGCACTTTAGTATGTGAACAGGGTCGACAACAAAGAAAAGAGGACACTCCGGGTCTGAGGGATGTGGATAGACGCTGCAAAGTTCCGGTGGTGTTTTAAAAAGGGACATTGTTTTTCTGTTTATGGAGTTGTTGTCTGTGATGACAGTGACCACATGCAAGCCTACGTTCTCCAGCTCAGTAATGATGCTGCGAAGAACAGTGTGCAGCTGCTGCGCATTGATTTGATCAACTGGAAGAATATGGACAACATTTTTCTGGGATGAAAGCAGGCTTTGCATCATAAAGACGTGTGCAGTCTTTGCTGCATTTGGGCTATTACTGGCAGCACCAACAACTGATCCGCCTTTGTAGTCAAAATAGGGCTGCAAATGAATTTCATCCATCATGAGCACCACTGTCTTTTCGTGTTGCTTCATCGTAGTAGCCAGCTTCTTGGCATATGATAAAAGGGAAGTACTTTGCTGCTCGGCCGCTGGGCTAACTTCGTAGGAACCACAAACACGTCGTATAGTAGACTGGTGAGGAAGTTTCAAGTTTGCAGAACTCCTCAAGAACCTGTAAGCATGAGGAGAGAATGGTAAAGAGAAGGCTTGAAAAAAAAGTGAAAGCCGTTTACAAATCCCTGTAACGCCGAATTGGAGCGCAGCTCTTGAGGAGGAGGAGTGAAGGGTACTGAGGGGAGGGTAGACCCCTCCTCCTCCCCTCATTCTTTAATATGCTCCGGGGGGGGCGGTCACGTGACCTCGGGGGGGGGGGTGTCACGTGACTTCGGGGAGGGGGGTCACGTGACCTCGGGGGGTCACGGGACCTCAGAGGGGTCACGTGACCTCAGAGGGGTCACGTGGGGGTCACCTTGGGGTCACGTGACCTTGAGATGACCTTGGGAGGGGTCACGTGACCTTGGGGAGGAGACCACGTGACCTCGGGGGTCACGTGACCTCAGAGGGGTCACGTGACCTTCAAAGGGTCACGTGGGGTCTTGGGGTCACGTGACCTTGAGATGACCTTGGGAGGGGTCACGTGACCTCGAGGGGTCACGTGACCTTGGGAGTCACGTGGGGTCACGTGACCTTGAGATGACCTTGGGAGGGGTCACGTGACCTTGGGGGTCACGTGACCTTGGGGGTCACGTGACCTTGGGGGTCACGTGACCTTGGGATGACCTTGGTTACGGCGACGGCGACGGCGACGCCGCTCAAGCCGGGAACGGGCCCCTAAGAGCTGCGCTCTAAAACTAGCAACTCTGAAGAGTACTGAGGTGTCTTGCTGAGAAGTAGAACCACCTGTTTTTTCAAGAAGCTCAAAGCGCTATGCCGCTCGTCATCTTTCAGATTAGAGTTTGTAACATCTTCAAGGAGTGAAAGCGCAAGTTTCAGTATGGCACTGACTCTGTTTTCGGTCTCGGATGCACGCATTTCCTCCAAAGACTCCACAGCATCCAGCAGACGGGACAAATCTCGCATGTCGTTTACTGTTCTTGGAATGGCGTCTATGCCATCAATCTTCGTGACCTGGACATCTTGGAAGAACACTTTCACGGAGAGGTCTTCGGAGATTGTAATTGACTGCCGAATTAAGGGGGCGTTGTCCACCTTAAGATTCAGGAACAGTAGGCAGTTCTGCCGAGAAATAACTGTCCAGAACTGGGACACCTTGAGACATGGAAGGCAATCCAGGAGAGCTTGAAATGTTTCGACCTTGTTTCTCTCTTCTTCTTCTTTATGCATCTCGAGAGAGAGGCTGATGGCTTCTCGCAGAGAAGTTGCGTCGAGGCGAATCCTCTTCTGCTCAGGTGTCTCTCGGGATGTGCTGGCAGTGGAACTTGACAGGTACGCCGGGCAGTTAGGAAATATGCGTGGCACGGCGTCAGGGCGGAGACGTGAAAGCTTCAGTTTGGCTTCGATCACTCTGCCAGTTTTTGAGTCCACATACCTCGTTGAATCGAGAATGTCTGAGGCTTGAAAGTGTTTTTCACATACCTGAAGATAAAAAAAAAAAAAATCATGCATTTTAAAAACTAGAAGGGGTCACAAGTTTGATATTACTGTTAAGGACCTCATTTTCGCTCGTTCGACATTTGAGGAATATTTTTCAGAATATAGTATTCGCGATTCGAAATTGGCTATGTAATCGTAACTATAATGTGAAATTTATTCGCGGGATAATTTTCTTGCGATGGCATGCTATCGAAAAAATTAAGAAAATTAAGTCGGTAAAAGTAAATAACCACAACGCAAAGGCACAAATGCAGCGCGAGTGAAGGGTCGAATGACTGGCATCACATCGCAGTTTTCTGCGCTACACTTCGACGTAAAAGTGTAGCAGAACTGGAAATCGTGAATACACACATTTCTAGAGAGTAGATATTTGATTCCAAGCAAGCAACATGAAGAGCGAGAATATGGACCCACAATAACTGACATCCGACAAGAAAACTTACGAATGCTGCTCTTACCACTGAGCGCTTTCCGGGCGTGAAGTCCTCACGTGGGATGGCTCGTATCCATTGCGCGTTTCTGGTGGGATCCGATGGGAACGTGAACACACGCACAGTCTCCTCGCCGTCATAGTTCCCGCGACACTCGGGAACACAGCAGTGTCCAGGCATTTTCACGGTTCACTTGCGAGAAAGGCTCGTTCCGCAAAACAAAGATCGCACAGTCGGTCACCAACGGTCGGCCATGATCCCCGCTGATGATGATTACTTCGCTGTGAATAACCAGATCGGCTCGAAATAAGATTGATCAGATCGCGGAACGCAAGTCTTTGAAAAGTTCTACATCCTACAAATATTTTACAGTCATAAATAGATATATTTACGACCAATATAACTTTTTTTTTTCAACCTGCAGCTTAATTATAACGCTTCTTATTTTCGTGAAATACGAAGCAACGGCTTGTTCTTCTCCGCGCGCACGTGACAGCTGCCAAACTGCCGCTCCAAGGTCGCGGAATCCGACCCCGCCGTCCTGCCTCCTCCGCGCGACGAACGAAAAAAACCGAGACGGCTCCGTCCGCTCCGTCGTAGTGTGCTGACGTCACGTACTGGGAGAGGAGGATATGCAGAGGCTTTGAAGTAGTCTAGGTGGTGTTGCACTACCTCGCGGCGACAGGCAAGAATGTGTGTCTCCTTCCCGGGCCAAAGATTAAAAAGGGCTCAAGCCGCTCATCCCGCTATCCTTGGGGCGAGCCGTCGGGCTGCCCCCATCCGAACGGTTGAAGGTCGATTACCTCAGTTTCCAGGAAACGATTAAATACACAAGCGACTCCTACAACTCCCAAGGGTGTGCCGATGGCGCGTTCACCCAAACTGGGCAAGGGAGAGCCGGCCCCTTCGGGGAATTCGGCCTCGTGGTTCCTTGTATCCGGGAGGCCGACGCCATTGGTGACGACGATTCCCACGGCCTGCTTGAAGCTAGGCCTAGATAGGGATAGAGGGAACCCCATGGTTCCCATACTCCCCCCTTCTTAAGGCTTAGGTATGACTTGAATAAAACAAAATGTCCTACCGGCTCTTAAAAACAAAAAGAACTAAAAAAAACGACCGCGTCCGGTGCCTACACCCCACATGCCGGGTTTCACAAATACGGTCTGCTGCGACGTTTGCGGCGTTCGCTCACCGTCGTGGAGGTGGTTCGTGGAGCCCTTTAGACGGGAACAGCCGGCCCCTGGACAGAGTGTTGTCCGTCGCCGCGCGGATCCCGAAGTAGAAGGGCGGGCAGGACCCCGCGCAGGCTGTCGGTCCCGGCGGCTCGAGTAGCCGACGGGCCGCTGGTTCGGTCCCCTGGTCCGCTGGCGTCGCGGGGCTGCTCGAGGAATCGCCAGCACCCGTGGACCAGGAACGCCGTCGAAAACCCCGGAGCCAGGAAACAGGCTGACGCAGCCCCCGAACGGCCCGAAGCACCGTCCTGGCTGGAGATCCTCTTCGTGGATGTTGCTGTGGAGTCGTACTGCGGCAGAATGACATCACGGTCTCGCCGCTTGTGACGACTGCTCTCGCCGTGCCCGTACGATGACGTAGTGACACATATGAGCCTGGGCGGCAGTAACTGACCAATGGGCGTTACGCCTACCCTTTCCCTCAGATGCCGTATGTGGGGAATCCCCGTACGGGATGATCCGAGAGCGAACGCTGAGGTGGCCTTGTATTTAGGTCACGGCTTGCCAACAATGGTGGCTGACGCGTTCGCGAAGGCAGCTGGTGCATTCTTTGCTTTTGCACTTCCCTTAGTGTGACATTTCGCCACTTATTGGGACTGCTTTTGCGAAACTCCGGATATTAGTTTCTCCGAGTTCGCAGATTGTAGCGGGGCGCCTCGTTTTTGGCGTCGTCTCGCGTTTCGCGTGCATTCTTGCGCAAGAGCGGCTTTGGGTTTTGCTCCTCGTTTTCCCTTCTGTGGTAGGGTTTGAGATCGCAAATATGCACTGGCCCTCCGACTTTTCGTGACTCTTGGTCAGTCAGCTTGTACACGAGCGGTGAAAGTATTTCTCACACTTCGTACGGGCCCAGCCACTTCGGTGCCAGCGAAGCAGAAAAGCCTTTGCTGGCATCGCTCAAAACGTGGTTTCGTCTGAGCACGAGATCGCCTACTTTGTAGCGGAGATCTCGGCGAGAGCGGTCGTACTGAGCCTTTTGTTTAGCTCGCGCTACCCCGAGATTGTGACGGGCCTCCAAGAAGGCTTCCGTCATCCGAGTTTGTAGCGAGCGCGCGTGTTCAGTCTGTGTCGACTGCGCGTCGTTTGCCCCGGCGTTCGCCCTTAGGACACGGTCCATGGGATTCGCCAACTCTCTTCCGAATGTAAGGAAGGCGGGGGTGAAGCCTGTCGAACGATTGACAGTGGAACTGAGAGCAAACCCAATTTCAGGAATGTATTCGTCCCAGTCGCGGTGCTTTTCGGCAAATGCTGCCAGCATGGGTTTGATGTTTCTGTTATATCGCTCCGTGATGTTTGCCTGTGGGTGGTAGGGTGTGGTTGTTTTGTGCTTGATGCCCAGGGCTTTGCAAGCGTCCACAAATGCCTTCCCGACGAAGTCGCTTGCTCGATCTGTTAGGAGAGTTTCCGGGAACCCGCATCGGGTGAATACCTCCATGAGCTTCTCCATGATCTCTCGGGCTGTCAGCCTTCGCAGTGAGAAAAGTTCTACCCATTTGCTGAAGGGATCCGTGACAACCAACAAATATTGGTGTCCTTTGGGGCTCCTCGGCAAAGGGCCGACCACGTCGCAAGCCACCAAAGACCATGGCTCTTGGCTGTGGGTCCGCTGCATTAGGCCCGGAGGTTTGCCGCCTCTTGGTTTGAAGCTTTGGCAAGTGTGGCACGTGGGGGCGTAGCGGAATACGTCCCTTTTCATGCCCGGCCAGGTTGCGATGTGACATAACTTTGTGTAAGTCTTGGAGCCGCTCGCATGTCCGGCCAAGTGCGAGTCGTGATAGTAACGCATTACTGCGCACCACAGACTTTTTGGCACTACCACCTTGAACACATTATCTGTGTCCTCCTCAGATGGGATACACTTCAGCAGGAGCCCATCGGCGTTCAGCAGAAATTGATCCAGCGTGTCAGTACCAGTACCAGATACATCCCGACACTCGGCGTTTACTGCAATACCAGCAGTCGTACGCCCGGCGGACGCACCGCCCGACTCCACGGAGTCCGACTCACTCGAGAGTCCGTCGATCACCTTTCGACAAAACGGATCATTCTGCTGAGCTTTCAGTAGCTCTTCTTTGCTGAACACGATCCCCACTGCGCTCACTGCGTCTAAGTGGTTCACGCTCTCGTCTGAGGAGGTCAGTGGTGCTGCCTCCACTTGGGAATGAATTTCGGCTTCGCCGGGCATTGCATGTGCCGTTGGCTCGGCCAGGCTCCCCGCGGAAAGATTTGCGCAGTCTGCGGGGGCTCGCGACAGTGCGTCGGCCACAACGTTTGTGCTGCCTTTCCGGTACCGCACGACATAGTCGTATTTTTGCAGTAGCAAAGCCCATCTCGCCAACCGCCCTGCGGGTTCGCGAAGTCTTGACAGCCATATTAGGCTCTGGTGATCTGTTTCGATCGTGAATGTGGTCCCGTCGACATAAATGTCGAAGCGCTTTAAGGCAAATACAATAGCCAAGCACTCTTGTTCGCAGGTGCTGTAGTTCACCTCTGCCGGCACGAGCGAGCGGCTAGCGAAAGCCACGGGACGAAGCACACCTTCGTGCTCTTAGAGCAGGACCGCTCCCAAGCCCAGTCTGCTCGCGTCCGTTTGGATCACGAAAGGCTTGTTCAAGTCGGGAAGCTTGGAAGCTTTAGTTCCGCGGTGTCCGCGAGTGCTTTCGAAGTGCAGCGGAAAGCTGCCTCCTGCTCGGGACCTCAACTCCAGCTCACAGCTTTTCTGAGTAGCCGCGTTAGTGGCGCTTGGAGGGAGGCGCAGTTCGGGATGAATTGGCGATAAAAATTCACCATTCCCAAATAGCGACAGAGTGAGCTTACGTCCGTTGGTGCGGGGAACTCCCGGATAGCTTCTAGCTTCTCGGCGTTTGGCGCAATGCGTCCGCATTCGAGTGTGAAGCCGAGCAAGTTGATTCGGGTTTCGGCTATTTGAGCCTTTTCCGGGTTCAGCGTGATTCCCGCGGCTTTTAGCCGGTCGAACACATCCTTCAGGTCTCCGAGATGATCTTCGAAGGTGTTCGAGTAGACGACAATGTCGTCGAGATAGGCCATTGCATATTTCCATTTGGCTTCTCCCAGTATGCGGTCGATCAACCGCTGGAACGTCATGGGCGCTCCGCACAGACCGAAGGGCATTCTTGTGAATTCGAAAAGCCCGCGGTGACAAACAAAGGCCGTTTTCGCCTCGTCACCCCTCTCCATTTGAACTTGGAGGTAGCCTCGGCTGGCGTCTAAGGTTGTAAACTACCGTGCGCTGCCGAGGTTGGACAGGATCGAGTCAATGCTCGGTACCGGATATGCGTCTTTCCGCGTGACGTCATTTAGACGGCGATAGTCGATGCACAGCCGTGAAGTGCCGTCCTTCTTTGGGACCAACACGACGGGGAATCCCCAGGGACTGTTTGACCGCCGGACAACTCCTGTGTCGATCATTTCGTCCAGTGCAACGTCAATGGCTTTTCGTTTAGCCAAACTAACGGGTCGTGCGTTTTGCCTCCGAGGGAGCGCATCGCCCGTGCCGATCCAGTGTCGCACTACATTGGTGCACCCGGGTCGATCTGTGAACATCTTGTCATAATGTCGTAACAATGCCGATAGACGGGCTTTTTCTTGCCCTGACACGCTGCATGACTCAGTCAGCAGGGGGTGCGTTATCTCCGACGCTACGGCGCTCGCTTGCAACCGCGTCGGAGAAGGTTGACCTCATGGGAGGCTGTTGCCTCGTTTCGGCTGCTGCTGCCTGCCCCATTAACCAGCGGTTTTTCTGGGGTTGGGGGTTCGCTGAAAGGTTTCAGAGGAGCGAAAGTGCCCTCTCGGTAGCCACCGCTACTCACGTTGATCACGATCCCTGTTTTGGCGAGAAAATCTCTGCCCAGGATGATCGGAACGGAAAGACTCGGGAGATGAACGAAGCGTTGCCGTCTTGCTCGATTCTCCCATCTCGCAACCAACCGGACGGTACCGCTTGAATGTGCGGTGCCGCACGCGAGTCGAAAAGTCGTGCTTCCCTCCCTCATTCGGACAGAGTTTTGCCGGAGGTGGGTCAACACTTCGTCACCGAAAAGCGATGCGCTTGCGCCCGTGTCGAGCAGCGCCTTGAACGTCCGACCAACGATCGTCAACGCTATGAATGGCGTTGACGTGCCTGTCGGAAAGCCTATTCTGTAGGCGGACGGCAAAAGAGTATCTTGCTCCGTGCCGTTTAGAGCCACCGGGTTGGTTATCGGCGGCTTTGCTCGTTTCCCGACTTTTGGAAACCGGGGTTCTGCCGTTCTGGGCATTGTCGAACCAGGTGGTCGGCGCTGTTGCAGCGAAAACAGCGTGGATGCGCAACCCTTCTCGAGTCGCTTCGCACGTTCTGCTGCGCGCCGGGCCTTTCATCCAGTGCATTTGGACGCATTGGCCGCGTTTGCTCCCGG